ACAAGAAAATATTTTTAACACAAAAGAAGGCAGTAAAGGAGGAAGAGAGGAAAAAAACGACCTGAGACACCACAGCAAAATGGCTTCTGTAAATCCAAACACATCAATAATTGCATTAAATGTAAATAGATTAAACACTCCAATCCAAAGGCGAAGATTATCAGACTGCATTTTTCAAAAACATCCAAATACATGATGTCTACAAGAGACACACTTTAGAATTAAAGACACAAATAGGTTGAAAATAAAAGGATGGAGAAAGGAACACCACGCAAGCAGTAACCAGAAGAGACCTGAAGTGTCTGCACTACTGCGAGACAACATGGACTGCAAGACAACAGATTTTCCTAGAGACAAAGAGTGGTATTTCATGATGATGAGTCAATTCATCAGGAAGATATGCGATTATAAACATCTAGACATAACATATAGAACTCCAAAATACGCAAAGCAAACACTGATAAACTAAAGAGAGAAACAGACAATGCAATGGATGGATGCTTCAATACTCTACTCTTAATAGTAAATAGGACGGCAAGACAAAATCAGCAAAGATACAAAAGACTCGACAATATCAACCAATTTGGCCTAACTGACATCTTATACAACACTCCTCCCGACAACAACATAGAGTACAATCTTCTCAAGTGTACATGGACCATTCCCCACATAGACCATATGCTAGGCCATGAAACAAATCTCAACACATTTAAAAGGCTTAAAGTCATACTAAATACATTCTCTGGCCTCAGTGGAGTTAAATGAAAATCAACAACAGAAGGAAACCTGGAAAATCCACAAGTATCTGAAAATGAAATAACACAACACTGATAGGAATGTAAAATCATACAGCTACTTCAGAAAACAGTTTGGCAATTTTTTTAAATGTTAAACTAAATTTACCATAGGACCCAGCAATTCTACTCCTGAGTATATACCCAGGAGAAGTGAAAACACATGTCCCCACAAAGATTCGTATGTGAACGTCCATGGAGAAACAACCCGAATGTCCTTCAAATGGTGAATGGATAAAGGGGCTGCGGTAGACGCACGCAGTGGAATACCATTCAGCTCTGAGAACGAACGATGTCCTAAAACAGGCCACAACACGGATGACCCTCAGAAATGCGGTGCTAGGTGAAAGAAGCTAGGTGCAAAAAGCAATACATGTGATTCCACTTATATACAATGTTCACAAAAGACAAATTTATAGAGACGAAAAGCACATTAGTGGTTGGCTGGGGGCAGGAATGGAGCTTCACAATAAACAGACACAAGGGACTCTGCGGGTGATGGACATGTTCTTTAAACTGGATCATGGAGATGTTTGTACAACTCTAAATTTGCTAAAAATCATTGAAGTACACACTTAAAAGAAGTACATCTGATATATAAATTATGCTTCAATAAAATTTAAAAGTGAAAAGAAGATAAATATGGCTCTGTAAGTGCTACAGTCAACAGATACCTGTAACATGATGCCAAGCTGAAAATCAGGCTGCAGAACAGCACACACAGTATGATCCCGTTAAAAAGTACACGTAAACCTAAACTGGTTAGGGGAGGATTCCATTTTTACTCTGTTTTCTTCTGCATCGATTGAGGTTTTTACATTTAGAATGAATTCAGGCATTATTTGTATGATTAAAAAGAAAACAAACAAAGCAGGGAAGGAAGGGAGGGAGGAAAGATCAGGGCGCGAGACACTGGGACCCCCAATCCCGGGCTGTGAGGTCCACTCACCGTAGGGAGTGGTGGGCCCCAGCTCGCTGGCCGCCTCCGCCATGTACTGAGCCAGCAGCTCCCCATTGGTGACCCGTGAGGGGACCTTCCTGTCCAGCTTCTCGTACAGGAACTCCTCCACTCGGGCACCTGTGCGGAGACAGCAGCCAAAGCCACGGGGCTCTGCAGTGCAAGTCCAAAGATGACAGCCATGGTGACAGACACAGACCAGGCCCCGCCCACAGAAGCATCCAGCCTAGTGACTTCCAGAATAATCTCTTGCTATGGCCCCTCAGCCCTGTGAGACTGGCACTATTCACCTCTCACTCCACAGAAGAGAAAGCCAAGGCTCACGGACGCAAAGCATCTGCCTGGGGTCACACAGTTCGGGGTGACGGGGCTGAAGTCAAAGCCCGTCCGCTTCTCCCGCGTTAATATGATTTACAGAACGTAATACACATTTGAGCAGCCCCTTGGTCCTCCTCCCAAAGCTCTCGGGCCACTTGATCAGCTACATAGCAGATCTACGACTGCAAGCCCCCCCTTCTTCTCCCGCAGGTCCTCCTGCAGTCAGCGCCTCTCGTTCTTTGCTCACGGTGTGACTTTGGGCAAGCCCTTTTCCCCTCTGGCCTCGCTGACCTCTTGACAATGACCAGGTTTGTGTTTTGCCTGCCTCTGCTGTCATTTCCAGGCAGTTCTTCAACTCCTCTGTGCAAAACTTAGCATTTCTGCTGTCCCAGAGAATGTCTTGGAACTCAACATCGAGTCCCCTGTTTTCTTTTAATGGAGATCCCCCCACAACAGCCCTGAGCCCCAAGAGTCTAACTGAAAGCCCGCCCGCAGCCCTGTCCCACTGCACGGCCTCGGCAGGGCCGGCTTCCTGCCAGCTGCTTCCCCGTCGGGCCACTCACTGGGGTTGGGCTGCAGCAGCACCTCCGTCTGCCTCAGGATCTTCTCTGTCCAGTTCTTCGTGCTGTCTGCTCGGGCCAGAAGGTTTTCGAAGTGGGCATCAAGCTCGGTCTTCTCGGCCTGGCCAAATTTCTCCTCTGTGAACTGTGGTGGGGAGGACCAAGGCGGGGAGGGCTCAGAAGGAAGTGGGGGTGGGATGGAAGCTCCCCCTGGCTGAAAGCCAACCCCAGGGTCAAGGACCTCACCCTGCAGGTGAGGCTCCATGACCTTGCAGGGCTTTGAAGGTCTGGCCTCAGTGGAGTTGGCCTTGAACTGGCTTAGGCCTCAGTTGGCCCCTTTGTGAAGTGAGGCAGAGTCTGGGATCACGGCTTCTCTTGGAAATAGAGCGAAAGCTACAGAATGCTCCCCACAAAAACGCACGTTCGTACACAATCTGGCACACAACTTAGAAGGACGAGGAGCCCTTGGGAAGCCATCTCTAGGGTCCGTTGAGCCTGACTCTGAAAGACAGCATTTGGTAGAAAGTGCTCAGGGAACCAACGCTCTGTGCTAAGGGCACAGAGCAAGGTCTGGGTCATGAGGGGGCTCCACGGGCAGCTGGGAGCTGCCACGGAGGCGGGTGAGAAGAACTCAGGTTCCAGAATCAGAGGGACTCGATTAGTGTTAGTTCTGCCAGTGCTGAGCTGTGTGACCTTGGGCGAGGGGCTCTGCCTTAGCAGAGCATCAGTTTCCTGAGCTGAAAAATGGGAATAATAGCACCTCCCTCATGGGTTGTGATGTGGGTTACATACAAAGGCCGGGGTCCGGGGCAGAGCTGGTGTCCCGCATTAGGCGCTGCTAAGAGCTGGCAGGTGCAGAGCCACCTGGGAAGGGAGGGAGGGAGGACGGACATAGCTTCGCCTCTGGCCACCTGGCGTGGTGGACGGGAACAGTGCCAGCCCTCCAGAGCCTCCCTAAGGCCTAGGATATCACATGCGTCCCCCCACCAGAGCTGGCAGGAGCTATGGGGGCCACCTAGGAACAACCAGAAACTGGCCCAAGTCCTGCCCCCTCTGATCTAGAAGAGCCCTGGAACAAATGTCCCCATTTTCTGAACAGGGACACCAAGGCCTTCTCCAGCTAGGGGAAAGGACTTGCCCAAGGTCACAGCCAAACAGCAAAAGGGTGAAGCCCTGCAGGAGTAAGATGAGGAACAACAGATACTGCTGACCAACCCCACCCTAGGGGCTTTACTCCCAGGACCTCCAGCGCAGGTGCTGAGCCAAGAGCAGGACTGTGCTGGAGTCAGCGTCGGCATGGTCCAGGGCAGGGGCTCGAGGCCCTTCCCAGAACTACTTGGTAGTAATGAATCACCCAGAGGCCCCAGACCGCTCCAGCTGCAGGGTGGGGAGCGGGAGGCTGCCAGGAGCCACCAGGCGGCTCAGCAGCCATCAATTATGTAGCAGGGCTTGGGTTTCTCCCCGCAGGGCTGGGGGACTAGGTGGAGGTTATAGCCTCCAGCTCTCACCTGGGGTGGCTGCTCCTGGCTTCCTCTTCCCTCCCCAACCCTGGCCGGCCCAGCCTCCTCTTCCTCCTCACGTTCCCCAAACTGAGGCCTTCCAGGGTGGGCCGCAGGCTCGTCCCCCTCCCTGCACCACGTCCCTGTGGCTGTGGCTCTATCGCACACTGGGAGCCAGGCCCAGAACAGGCCTCAGCTGACCCAGCCCTTTGAGGGGGGTGGCATTTACCCCATTTTCAAGATAAGGAAACCAAGAATCAGAGAGGCAAAGGCACCTCTCTGGGCCTCAGGGCCCCCCTGAGAATGTGGGTAACAGGATCCATTTCACAGAAGCTTTGGCGGGCACGCGGTATGCGCTGATGTTAGCTGGTCTTATCACGGTGGTCGTTAATAATAATATAGCCTCACGTTCCGCCTCAGCTATCAGGGGCTGCCCTGAAGGCACCAGGGTGTCACCTAAATGTGCACCTCAGCACCTCCCCTCCTCACAGAGGCTGAGAGCAGCACCGCCCACCCTGCGGCCTGGCACCCCACATCCATGCAGGTTCGAAGTTCCACCAGGCTTTCCTGACCTCCTGGACATCTCTCCCCATCCACTGCGGCCTGCCCGGCTTGGATGATGACGGTGCCATGGCTTCTCTGGCTTTTATGATTATTACTCTACTCTGCTATTACTACTAATAGTATTAATACTAGCAACTCCTGCTCCTACTGGCATGTTGTCCAAATATGCCTGAGGTTTTCCTGCCCTGGTGTCCTTATCTGGGCTGCTCCTGCTACCTGGACAAACATCACAAGCCCCTCCTTACTTTCAGGCACAGCTCAGGGGCCCTCCATGCAGGAAGCATCCCAGAATCCTCCAAGCAAAAGAGATCTTGCCCTCTGGAGTCTCATCTTGGGGCCAAGGCCTCATTCCCTGCCAGATGGGGTTGGGGCGAGGCTCTTCAAGTTGTCCCTAACACATGCAGGGGCTGGGAGCTTAGCCAGCACGTCCTGGTGCCTGGTGAGGTGGCATGTACACACATGTACTGATAATAAAGGATCCCTCTGCCATCTCTCCTGATGGACCCCCACCCCAGGGCAGCCTGTCCTCGGGCAGGTCCCCTCTGTGGCCTTTCCTGCCAGGTCACATTTCAGGCCCCTCTCTCCTCTGGCCTGCCATCCTGCCCACTCCTGCCAAGGGGAAGGGGCTTGGTGCTTGAGTCCGAGGCTGCTCCCTGCAAGATGACAGCAGCAGGGGGGTGGGCGTGCAGAGTAGAGAAAGCCTCTATTTATAAAGCTCCCAACCCACCTCCCTCCTCCATCCTGGAGGCTGGGGCCTGGGTGCTGGCTCCCACTCTGGTATGAGTGACCCTGCGGGCCTGGCCCCCACCAGGTGGAGCAACGCGCCTCTTACCCCCAGCCCTGAGCCCAAGCCTCCCCACGCCTAGGCTCTGTGGGCCCTGGCCAGGTCAGGCGACAGGGCCCCAGTGGTAGCAGGAAACTGGCAGATCAGGTTCTTCCCAGATGTGGGAGATAGTGCGGTTGCCATACCAACCCTGGGGAGGGTTCCCTACCTCTCAGATGGACTGGGGCCATCCAAGGGGCTCTGGGGTCCTGGTATCCCCACTAGGGCTGGGGATGCACACCAGGCTTGGAACACAGAGCAGCAAATTGTCACTGGGACGCTAATCCTCAACAGGATACAGTGCTTTCTAGTAAACATGGCCACATGGGCTTCCAAGAGACTGGCTGGGGCTGGGCTCCTCTGTGCAGGGAGGACCGTGCTCAGCAGAGCCAACAACAACGGTATACAAGGACAACACAGCAGGACCTGTTCCCAGAGCACTGAGATGGGCCAGCTCCGGGTCTGCAGAATCTCGCCGAATCCCACAGCCACCCTTGAAGGCAGGCACAGTGTCACACCTGATTTACAGAAGGGGAGACTGAAGCTCAGAGACAAGTGACTTGCCCAAGGTCACATGCTGCACAGGTGCAATATTAACCGCATTATACACCAATAATGAGCTTGCCTTCAGTGAGCACGTACATGCAGAGTGCCACAGAGTTCTCACATCTGTCCTGGGACGGAAGGATACTGATCCCATTTTTCAGATTTGAGAAACTGAGGCCCAGCAAGGTGACGAAGGCCAGTTTCCACCTATACCTGACTCTAAGTCTTCCCCATGACATTAAGCTGCCTCAGTTTCTCTCCCTGCCCCCAAATGGATAGGACTTGTTCCAATCTCAACATTACTGGCCTGGACAGCTTCCCAAGGAGGGCACCCAGCCAGACCCCACCCCTCTCCCCATCCCCCAAGCCCAGGGAATAAGAGGAAACAGACTCCCATGGAGCCGAAAGGAAATAGTTCCCAGCCTCCAGCCCGACTATCCAGCAGGTAAAATGGACCTGAGGGATCACAGTACCACCTGCCCATTGCACAGGTGCACAGACTGAGGCTCAGAGAAGGGGTTGTGGCCGGATGCATGAGTCCTTGGGCCTGGGACCCAGGCCTCCAGATGCCCCTCCAGGAGTCAGAATCACTGCTGGACAAGGACAGGGAGGTACGAGCCACCCGGTGCCCTCTCCTCCTGTCAGCTGGGCAGGCGCCAGGACGTCGGGGTAAGCCAGCCAGTCCATATGGTGAGCACTGGTACCTCGCCCCAGGCAACAGGGCCAAGGCCCCGCTCGACCCGGGCTCTGGGCCGCCTGAGCTCTTTCTCTTTCTGGACAGTGTATAAGGAGCAGAGGCTCAGGGCTGCTGAACCGGGTGGCAGCAGCACGGGAAGGGCTTCCCTGCTCCCCCGGGCTTCTGCTGCAGGGTGTTCCCCGACCGCCCCACATCCGGGCCCCGGGCGCACGGCGCCAGGCCTCACCTGCACCGCCCGGGTGAAAAAGATGCCCGCGTCCGACGCCAGCTTCTTCATGTTGAAGTCCATGGCCCGCCCGCACGACCGCCGCGCCCGGCCCGAGCGCAGCCGGCAGCCCCAGGCCCGGCCACCGCCACCCGCCCGCACCCCGCCCACCTGCTGCCGGGCGACGGCCCTCCGCTCGCCCGCCGCCCGCAGCAGCCGAGCCAGCGCGAGCGCGCAGGGCGGGGCGCGGCGGCAGCGGAGCGGAGCTCGTGGGAGGGGGCGGAGCTCGTGGGGCGGGGGCGGAGCTCTGGGCGGGGGCGGAGCTCTGGGCGGGGGCGGAGCTCGTGGGCGAAGGCGGTCCTGCGAGGGCTCTCTGCTGCTCCCTTGCGCCCGGGACTGTGGGCGGGCCTCTCCTTTTTCCCTTTTACTGAAATTATTATTGAAACTGAAAACACATGTCCTCTTAGATTATTGTAGGTACACACCATAATTACATATTATTTGCCATCTTGCTAATGCTTTTTAAATTTTTATTTTTTATTTGTTAAAAGAATTTTTTTTTTTGAGACAGGGGTCTCACTGGTTTGCCCAGGCTGGTCTTGAACGCCTGTGCTCAAGGGATCCTCCAACCTCTGCCTCTCAAGTAGCTGGGACCACAGGCGGACGCCACTGTGTCTGGTTATAAATTCTTATTTTTAATTGACAAATAAGAATGGTATATTTTTATGGAGTACAAGGTGACGTTTTGATATATGTGTACAGTGTCAATGAGGAAAGCAAGCTAATTAACATATTCATCACCTCACCTACTTATCAATGTTTTTGTGGTGAGAACATTTCAAATCTACCCTCTCAGCAAGTTTGAAATATACATTACCGCCCTGCTGTGCAGAGGGTCTCTACATGGCCTCTCTGGCCTGCTCCTCCCTGGCCCGTGCCCCCGCCTCTCCCTGTTTGTGCCACTTCATCTCCCTCTCCCTTTATTTGCACCCTTCTTCCTCCTCTCCCTGCTTCTCCGCCTCTGCTTCCCTGGGGCTCCCTCTGTCGCAGCCCGGATTGCAGAATGGGGGATGGACACAGAAAGAAACACACAGACACACACAAGACATACAAGACTGCAGTACTCAATTTGTACCAGCTGTTTTATTTATATACTTTTTCTTTTTCTTTCTTTTTTTT